AACATAGAATGAAATATGATTAATTGAGACATGTAAAAAATATATGCAAATCTCAACATCCTCAAGATGTTAAGATTGTAAAAAATAAATCAGAAGAGGAATTACTTCTTGTAACATCATGCTTTACAACCAACAAATCTATAAAAGATTGATTTGTAAATAGCGATTGTATAAATTATATGACCCATGATCGATAACTTTTTAATAAGTTCAACAAATTAGATATTTTTAAAGTAAAAGTTAAAAATAAAGGACAACTTTTTGTGAAGATAGATGAATAATTACAATTAAAACTTATTTAGGTGTCAATTAAATTTGTTATGCATAAAAATCTATTAAATGTTGCTCAACTCTAAGAAAGAAAGTTTATAAGGTTTTATTTGAAAATAAACTTTTTGTGACTAATGTAAAGAAAGTTTATAAAGTGTCATTTGAAAATAAACTTTTTAACTAAAGATGTAAACAACTTATCAACATTCAAAGTTCACATAAATAAAAACTTTGTTTTGAATTTGATAAAAAAAAATGAGTTGATTACAAACAAAGAAAATATAGAAAAAAGGTTAAAGATCAAAATAAGATAGGTATTTTATTGAGAAGTTTGATGCTCAATAGAAAAAAATAGATGAAGAATCCAATTCTAACATCTATCAAAGTTAAATATCATTACCATGAAGTGAAAGAAAAAAAACTAATAAAAAAAGAAAAATCAAGCGTAGGATAATCAAATTTGAGATTTGAAATTCTAGTAAACAAATATTAAATAAAATGTTGAGAATATTTACTTACTATTCTTTTTATTTAAATTAGTATTTAGAAAATCTTTCAATTTTAGAAATATATTTTATATAAAGATAAAAATATTTTTAATTATTATTTAGATTTAAAAAATTAAGATTTATAGAAGATTAATAATTAATATTATATCATTGCTTTATATATAAAGTAAATGAGTAAAATAAAATAACAAACTCTCCACCTAACATGTTATTTTATATTTCTCATGAACAAAACAAAGAAGCTGAATATTTAACATTTTAAATTTGTATTGCAATGTCATTCTATAAGAGATTTTCTTTTTTACAACAAAGAATTGGAGACTTAGATAACATGTTTGATTAAAGAGGTTACTAACATGTAACCGAATCAGATAGTGCATATTTATCGTATTTTAATAGAATATTACATTAAAGTTTTATGTAAGAAAACAAAATTCTATTAAACAGACTCATTTTAGTATCAAAGTAATATTCTTCATTTAAACAAAAGTGTCCATTATATTTGTGATGGAGAAAAAAAAAAGAGAAATCATATTCCTATTCAAGTTTCATTCTTAGCGGAAACGATCCTAACTTATCTCACATCGGAGTTAAGATTTAAGTGCAAAATTTTAGGACACTAGTGTAAATGGAGGAAAAAGAAACATTTATTTTCACTGATATTACTATTGTTTTCAGATAAATTTACACATACTAAATAACTATTAACCAGTTGATACGGATCATCATTTCTATTAGAAAAGGTGTTAAGTGGTTTGGGTCTATTGGAATGTAAAAGCACATTTGAGATAGATGAAAATGTCGTCCGCTTTAAGTGAAGTTGTATCCAAAATACTAATAATTCTTAATCGTACTTATGTAAATTAGAAAAATGTAGATACATTATACTATACGACGTAAATAAACTTCTGATCCTCGCAAAGACCATGGAGAAATAGTGAAATAGTAGAATAAAATTCTTTCCTATTTTTGAGCCACAGGACACATACGTTTCACTCTATCATCTGAAATAGACAGAACAGAATTAACTAAATAACCAATACTTCTTTTATACTTGCCTTAAAGTCATTTATCAGGATAAAATTTGCAATATAAACTATAAGTAAAGATTGTATTTGTTATATGATATACATTCCAAATTGGAAGAGGAGAAATCAATATTAAAACAAACAAGAGAAGGAAATAAAAAAATGTATGACCCATCTTTCATGTTTCATTCCTGTTTTTATAACTTTTATAAATAAGAAAAATGAAATTACTTTTCCTTCCGCCACAGCTATAATCAATATTCATCCACCACCCAAAGTAACTTACGTCATCAAGATTGCACTTAAAGTGGGGGATTCTGTTCTCCCCAAAAAAAGCGCCTTTCGGGTACAGTTTTATCACGATACAATGGTTACTTGACTCCTGATAGGAATATAAATACCATGGAACAACTATCATATTTTCACCCATTCTAGCAATTACGGAAAAAAAATAATAATTACATTTTACCAGGGTATAAATTTACATCCCAAAAGTCAGCAGGAATTACTTCAGACTTTATAAAAGTTGCGAGTGGCATAGCAACTTCAAGGAAAGAATGTTTGAAGTACCTTGTATCATCTCAAAACACAGCAAGCTGGGTTAGTTTCCTTCAGCGAAGCAGCTTCTCTCATCCGAAACAAGAGAGAATAAACAATCTCAAGGCAATCAATTCATTGCACTTAACACGCTTAGCTTGGTTCTCTCAACATTCACGCACTCCTCCGCTGTTTCCAGTTGGATGCACGTTGCCAAGCCATTGGCTTGAATCCAGCGGCAATGACAATGAAACCTCAAATTTCTGGCATTGAGTGAAACTGCATTAACCAACAATTACTTACCGCTCCTTTACAAAGGCCCTCCTCCTTTAACCCTAAGGTAGTCATAACATCTTTGCCATTGGACACTTGTTTTTATACTTCCCATATCCTCAAGGCTGCTGCCCTAAAAGAGTAATTTGAGGAATAAAAAACTGCTTGAGTATCCAGCATACAAATATACACACCTCTCGTCAAACACACTCTATTGTGGGACGTGGTATGCAAATAGTTATTGTCTTTTTTCCCCTACCCTAGCTTCTCTTTATTTATAATCTTCTCTAGCGTAAAATATACTTTCTACCACAATATAGTTTCATTGGCATTCTCATTGAAACACACAGTCACTGGCAAGTGCAAAGCTTTCTACGCTGGAAGAAAGCTTCCAAATGCCAAATCCAAAGGAAAAATAAGAAAAGGATCATTACCCAAATGAACATTCAACTATTCAGATGAAAGTAACACATTGACAAGTTTAGATATGATGCAAAAATAGAATACAAATGCTCTACAATGACAGAATAATTTGTATGAATATAGTTGAGAAAACAAGTAGTTGACTTCTTCGAATGATATAAATCACAAGAACAAGGTACTGAAACTAAAAGTTAAAGACAACACAAAATAGACAAAAGAGCTATGTTCACCGAGTTTGGTTATAGCATTCTCCACAGTATTACACTATCTCTTCTTATGTCCAGCTGGGAGGGCTCATCCTCAATGTCAATAGGATGTAGTATAGTAGATATCAACAGTGCAACTCGCCAAAAATCTTTAAGCTCTCTTAAGAGAAACCCTAAATGAATAAATATAAAAGGTTCAGCTATAAAAGATACAATTCATAAAGCACATAGCTTACATAACTTCCTATACAACACATGGAAGAGCAAAGCAAGAATCACAAATGCAATATCAACAACATTGAACTCATCACATGATATTTAAAGAAAACCGAATCTTAGCTTCTATGTCCTCTTTTATTTGACACATTTAGTCAAGTGCTTAAAAACTTTTCAAGTCTTAAAAAGGTACAGAAGTACGACTGCAAATAAATATAAGGAAATATGGGTTGTAGGCTTTAGCTACTTTCTACTGCAAAGCCAATAGTAAAATTGAAACTGCAGCGTACGGAAACATGAAAAACTACAGACAGCAGCACAATATGTAAACATGAAAAGACTATAAATGAAGATTAAGGACAACAGCTATTTTGTCATGAAACAACTATGCCAAAAACTTAAGTTACTGTTTCAATGTTTAGCATGTCCCTTTACTAAAGATCCATTTGGGCTTCAATCATGGATAATTCCTAGGCCTAGCTACACATGTTCTGGAATTTAACTTTTTTATTAGAAGAATGGGAAAAGAAAATATTAAAATCTAGACCATTTGGTCATAGAGGCTCACTCTGATTACCAAGTCATGTCATGGACAAACAATTCCAAACACTTAAGCTGTTAGGTGAAGTCCACAAGAGGTTCTATATTAGATTTCTAACAATCCAAAAACAATCATACAGCAGATGAAACCTTGGTGGCAAAGCAAGAAAATTATACCTGTCCAGTACTACCCTGATCCTAGATAGACAGGGACATCAACAAGTCTCCATCCAATCATGATCGACAACTTGGTCATCCTTACCAGATGTAAGACAAGGGAACAACGACAAGAATTTATGTGATGCTTGGTGTAAATTAAGCACCTGTATTTTGAGGAGCAAATGCAAATATCAATACAAATTATCATCAAGAGTCAATAACACAAAAAATAATTTAAATATAGAAGTTATAATGCATCCTTTGGATCTTAAGAAAGCTAAAAGGAATGAAAGCTGACCACTTCCGCATCCTTAGCTTTTCGTTTAATGACTCCCGATAATATGATTGACAACAGACCCTTACAATTGAAGATCCATATTAGGCTATTGAGCAAAATTTATTTGAAATAATCATCGCAGAATAGACACATGGTACAATGATCAGTTGCAACTGATATATTAGTCTACTCTCCAAGAGATGAGGAGTTGGGACAAGAGTGCAAGACAATTGTCCAAGTTGACGAGCTCCAACACAGTAACTAAATTTTAGATCAAGGCTTGACTGCTAAGCTCAACAACTCAACAATTATTTTTAAATGTTTTTTCACAAGTAGAATTGCTCCAAACTGCAAGTAGGCACATATTTTCTTATTTTCCTGTTTAGAAAAGAAAGATAATTTTGAATTTAATATTCATTCGATTCACAGTATTGAGCTTTAATAGGGACAGTTTGTTAAGATTTTTCAAACCAGTCAGATTAAATTCAAATGAAATAAAAATATATAGGTACACCGGACACTAACAGAAAAGACAATGATAAAATCACTAAAAAAAAACTAATCTTATCTATTGTAAGGGTTCTAGGATTCCTTTATTCTGAAATATCTTAACAACTTCCACAACCTTCTCCCTCAACTTGCTTACAAGAAATTCAGAATCAGGTTAAATTAGTCAACTGGTTAGAATGTCTGCCACTGTTTGAAGTTGGGACAGATGGCATACAAGCAACTCCTCCATTAAGCTTTGATAACTGGCATACAAATAACTCCTTCACAAAACAAGATATTGTCCTAGATGTTTCAACTAATAAATTGAAATCCCAGAGTTACTTGCAGCTTAATATTGACATCAAAAGTA